TAGGGAAAGCAAAAACTATATGGGAAAACAAAGAAGAATAAGGCATTAATTCACTCCTTCCCATAGGCAGGCAGAAATTTAGCCACTTCCTGGAGATCAGGGCCTCAGCATGCATGATGGTTACTTGTTACCACAGGCATAACCCCTTCTTCCTCCTTTTCCCTGATCTTTTGTTGCTCACCACAACACCAGATGTGTGGGATATCCCTTCGGTCAGTTCGGGCCAACTGTCATGGCTGTGACCCCTCTCTGCTCCTTTCCCATGTCCTGCTGTGGAGCACAATGAGAAAGAGAGAAGACCTTGACATGGGCTGCTGGGGAATATAACTCCATCCCAGCCAGACCCAGTACACCCTGCAGCAGGTGGGTCTCCAAGCTCAGGGAATTCTTAGCTATGGAAGGACAATATGTAAGAGAGAGATCTGAGAACAGGCTTTACCTTGTAGCTGCAAAACTAGGTGTGTTTTAAATGCACAGGAAGAAATAGAACAAAAGGGCTAGAATGCTTCTGACCTGCAAAACACCCATAGTACAAATAACATGTTATACTCAGCTGCAAGGGCCTGTAAAAGTGGGACAGTTGGCTGGAGAGTCAGTAGAACTGTTTGCTGACATAGTCATCTGGCCACAAAACCTTACCAGAAGAGGGTCACCTGCTAGTCAGCACAAGTTGCCTCATGGCTGTGTGGCAAACGCACTTGGGGGACGCACACTGTGCTCTCTGCAGAGTTTTCTCCCTGTTGTTAACTGTCTCCATCAGCTTCACTCACAAAGCCCAATCCATTCTTTTTCCCCACAGGAGAGTAGGAAGGAAAACATAACTGAACTCAGTGGGTTTGGTTTTTTTAAAAATTCCTGACAGACTTCCAAGAAGGCTTGAAAATGTAATATCTGCATAGGTAACAAACAAAGCATATCTGTTCTGACAGCTGTCTGAATGCCTGCACACACAGGTAGGGGTGACTTCTGTCCGACTCTAAACCTAGTGACATATGGTGCCAGCTAGCTGTCCACTGGGTAGCCCTGGAACCAGTGACACACAGATCAATGTGGCTTCAAAATTTCTGCCACTGAGTAAACTGAAGAGAAGATTTCTCCAGCTCAGATGAAGCTGTATCCTCCCTGTCAGAAGAAGGCTTGGAGTAACACCTCCTCACTTCAGTCAAGATTTGCTGAAGCACTGTGGAGCACAGCTAGTGACATAAAGGTCACTGTGTGGTTGAGGTTGAGGGGATCCTGCCTCCACTTGCGCCTTCTCTAATACCTGCCAGGTCATCTTGGCTCCTCTGATGTGCTCTTGTTGAGCCCTTTTTTGTATTTACTACCAGCTTATGGCTATTTTTCTGTTACTCGGGTGAATTAGCTCAGCAGAGGATCAGATGACCACCACAGATGGTTCATCTGGGGTAGATGCTCATCTTTCAGCTTTGATGGGGTGTTAGCTCAGTACGAATTATAACCCACAACTTCCCTCTAGATATTACATTAGGTGTTACCTGAAGAGAATTAGCAGTTTTTATTAACATAAAAATGCTGATTAAGAAAATCTGGACTGATGACAAGAAAAATGCCTGCCACCAAAAATGTCACCTTTGTGAATGTTAGCAGCAGCCATCTTTCCCTAATGGAAAGCAGAAAAAACAGCCAGATGAGAGGAGCTGGGAAAAGCTGCCTTGCAGCTAAGAGGGCTGAGGTATCAGATCCCGACCCCTCTGCCCCACACACCCTGCAACAGGGACACATCCTGCAAGAACCAGACCTGAGCTTGGTCACCTGTGTCTCCCCCTCTCTTTGGATGCAGAAGCCAAAGAGTTCTTCTTTGGAAGCACCATTTTTTAGTGCCACATGCCAATTGCATTTCCAGGGTACATTACTTTCTGTATGCTGGGGCATGTATCAGCTGGGGCTGATGCTGGGGCATCTTCTGCTTCCCTTCTCTGTCAAATTTTTCTCTGGCCTTGCAGGTAGAGGAGAGGACACAGGCAAATTCAGGTCCTAGTCATTAGCATGACTGACTCAGAAGAGCAGACAGACATACTGGCCAGAGCAGCAGTGCCTCCAGCCCAGCACGTTGCCCCTAGTAGCAAAATAAGAGGCTGCTTAGAGTGCTGCCACTTTCTGCAGTCCCTGCCCTCCCTTCTCCATCAGGATCTGCAATTGATGCAGTAGGGTACATCCCAGAAGAAGAAAGACCATGTCCCAGTTAAATATTCTTTCATCAGAGCTACATTGTGTAACTAAATGTGCTTCCATTAGGTTTGGCTTTCTAACAGTCTCATTGAAGTTACAGAAAACATCATGTGCTTGCACAGAAAAAAAAAAAAAAAAAAAAAAAAAAAAAGAAGATAATTTAAACTCTATTAGCAACAACAGCTGAGTGCTCCAGGACAAAAAATCTATACCCTGTGGCTACAGACACAGGACCAAGTTAGTGTGGGAAACATAACAAAAAACATTGATTCCCCAGGGTCTTATTTTTTGTAACTCCTCCCCCAGCTCACAACACATTAGTTCATTATTGTAAACAATCAAACTAATCTTGGTGTTAATATCTGGCAGTAGATGCTGCAAAATATGCTTTATTTAGTGATTTAACTTCATCCATATTCCCACATGATAGACATAGAAATATTAATTTTGTAATTAACTAAATATTAACACACTCTGGCCTACTAATGTTCTCTTATTAAAACATACTTGCTACTGAGTTTACAAACATCTTAAACTAAGAAGTAACTTAATACAGTACCAGGCTAGTTTAGTAACCATGATAGCAGGAAACATTGTTGCTTTTCTTATAGTAACAACAAACCATTGTAAATTTGCTTCTACCACATCAACACTTATATGGGTCTCCTAGAGCTTAATTTCTATGACAACCTTCTTCATTTTTACTAGTAAAAGCCTTGATATACGTTAGGGTACAGACATACAGGACTTCTGAACACTTAGAGGAGTATGGGGTGAGTGCTTGAGTGGAGGTGTCCTGTGTTTCCTCTCTTAGCTATTGGGCTCTCTAATGTTTAGGGGAAGGTCTCCTCCACAGATGATGAGCAGGGAGGCAATGGGCTCAGTTTGACATATTTTTGTGAGAAAGTGCTTTAAATATCCTCTCCTGAAACAGCCTCACCAGAAAAAAAAGCCCCATCATAGCAGGCTGGACCAGCAACACCTTAAACATTGCTGCCCTTGTGCTTCAGTTTGCCATCCTTGTAGAAATGTAATCCCTCCAGCTATTTTGTCTTCTACAAGCTTCAAAATAAATATAAAATCTGTTGGGTTTTTTTGTTTTTTGTTTTTTTTTCAATGTATGTATAAGCTCTGAAGGCAAACAATTTGTGACACCCCAAATTTTAGGCTATCCCCAAGTAGATGGGGAGAGGAACAGACAATTTTGTCAGCACTTGTTTTGCACACAGTATTCTCTTGTCTGGAAACGTGTTTTTCCTCTCTGTGGGGTTTGGTGTCCTGTAGAAAAGGCAAGTGACATGGGCATGAAGACACCACAAGTGACTGCTGGGAAAACAAGTGTGGGCAGTCACATCTCTGCACTCTAACAAACAGATGTACCTATTTAAACTTCACTGAGGTTGTTCTTCCCACCTGAATCTCCAAAATAAAAACACCACAGTTCTGTTACTAAGCACAAGCAATGGAAAACCTTGAGGTAAAAGGGGAGAGTGGGATGAAAGGGAAAAAAAAAAAAAAGTTATTAACTGTTTCTATAGGACGAAAATCACCGCCTTGGATGGAAAGGAATTTTCCTCCTCTCATCTTGCAGTGTGTGACAGCACAGTGCATGATGCTGTGACATTCAAATAAAGTTTTAGTGCCGTTTCTCAGATGCAGAAATACATTTGTCCGTAGTACTATTTGATTTATAGAGGAAATTAGAGACATGACCTTTCTTCCTAATGAAATTTCCATTAAATGTCTCACTTTGCTAGAAACATTGCTCCATTATTGGACAGGAGTAAATCCTATGCTCCAGTGAGTCAGTGCTCTGCAGACCACATGGCATGTTTAATGCTTACATATAGCTTCAGAAGAAATTATGTCCAGATAGAAGTGGGCTCTGTTCTCTAGTCCGAGGATCTGCAGGGCCAGACTCTCCTGGCTAGGTGAGAGGCAGTGCCAAAGGGAAGGAGCTGGCATCTCCAGGCA